CAGTATTTGCATGATGACTGAACAGTATTCAGTCTGAAGCCAAGACTCCAATCTTGGCTAAGATATTCTTCTGTGAGTAGAATCTGGCAATATCAACTTTTCTGTCAAAATCAATAATAAACGTCAAGATTCGCTAATCTTTCTGTGACAAAAGGTTTCTTCTGTCAAACTAACTTTTCAAATATCCTTTTCCTGTTGATAGCGATCTACAAACTTGGATTCTTTAAAAGTTTCGGAAAAAATCCAATATTTTCCAAGTCATCCATTAGCATTTGATGTAAAGGAACAAATAAATTTCTTTAAATACTTAAAACTTGGTATCTACAGGTAAATTTAATCAATTTCAGGCAATTTAAATAAGTCTTAATTATATTATTTTTAACTAAAAGGAAAAGATCACGGTCCCCAAGGATTGAATTAAAAAAAATTTTGGCACTTTTCCCATAAAACTTTAAAGTTAATTTCACGAACCAACTCTAATACTAAGCGTGCATTTGGAAAAGCAGAATCTCACTCAAAAATCTCAGGAAAAAACTGTTTCCCAAACCTGCATGGGGAATTCCTTTTCCAAGGAGTTCCTCCTATTCTTGCAGATTTTGTTCTCCTAGTTCACAAACTCAAGCGAAACAACAACAACAATCCATCCAACTTAGCATGCAGTAATATAAAACTCCAACGCTCTCTGTGCTCAACACAACAAAACAACTAAAACAGCATTTCCCAATCAGTGATTTAATAAAACAAACAGTGAATCCCAACTCAAACAAATAGATAACTAATGATATGGTATAAAAAGTAAAAATTTCCTACAATAAAAAAAAAAATAACAACAAAAGTTAAAATTTGCTATAAAATGTGAAAATTTATTTAACAAGATACCTAAAATTCAATCCTAAATGTGATCTAAAAAAATTTTTTTCACTAAAAGAATTTATAAATTTGTCCTAAAATATGGCTAAAAGTTTAAGATAATAGCCCTAAAGAAAATTTTGCGAAAGAATTTAAAATTTGACTTAAAATGTTGCTAAAAGTTGGACGAAATTAATCTAATATGTGTCTAAAACCTAAATCTAGAATTGTTAAAAGCTAAATCAAAAATTGCTAAAGTCTAAATCTAAACATGGCTAAAATCTAAATATAATTTTGCTAAACTCTAAACATACAAATTTGCTAAAATCTAAAAGTTTTCTAAAACTAAATCTAAAAATTATTCAAAATTTGCTCAACAAATTAATCTAATACCTAATTATTTTGTCTGAAATAAACCTAAATTGCACCCTACACCATGTAATATTGCACTTTAACGCTCAAAATTTATGTATTTGCAAAATAGTTTAACATATCATAAACAAGTTCTAAAATCATCAACAAAAATCATTTTCCAAAATGTTGAAATTTTAATCATAATTAAACCAAATTTTCAAAAGCAAAAAGAAAAATGTTCATTGTGTAAAACAAAAGAAAACACTATAGTTTACATTGATTGCACCCGACAACAAAGATTGTTAGCTTTTAAAACAAACGTGGGAAAACAAATTAAAATTTAAAGATCAATTATGACAAGTGACAATCGCTTAGTAAAATAAATAAACAAAAGAAAACAAGAAACATGCGAAAAGATTAAAGAAAACAACAAAACAATAACAAATAAAATTTACAAATTTAAATATCACAATATCAAACCAAATAAAAATAAAATAATTTAGAAAAAAAATTACCTATTAAAATAAATCAAAAGAATCAATATAACATCTCAAAGACATTAAATGCAAGAAAAAGTTAAGATATAAATATTTTAATTCCATCATATAGCGTCCGTCGAATCCATGGAGAAGGCCTTCTACAACGAATTCGATCGGTAAGTGAACTAAATTCAATATTTGTTTAATTTTATATTTTACTTTATTTCTTGCATTATGATTTGCATAACAAACAACCAAAGGGAAAAAACTTGTAAATGAGCTCAAACCAATTTTTATTACTTCCAACCCAACGTTATTCTGAGAGAGATCAAACATGTTATAACATGTTTGACGGTCATTTACTTAATACATGTCGTAATCGAATTTTGGTTACAACTTATAACAACTTATATATATGATCAGCTGTTGGAACTGAGTTCATTGAACTTTACAAATTTTTTTGGTTTGGTTTTTGTTATATACTTTATTTAAAATTTGCACCATGGGTCGGAAAATTGTATAATCCTACCACAATTTTGTCTTTCGTTAAAAAAAAAAAAACTCTAAAAGCCTAGGTGTTTTCTTTGTAAATTTTAAAATTATATTTCTAGCTTTGTCAAAAAAATATTTTTTTTTTTTGTGTTGAGAAAAGATAATTGTTTTCACATGTTTTAAAATTTTTTCAAACATTATTTTTTTTAAATTGTATAATTTCTTAAGTTTACTTTCGATAACTTTTGACATTTACCCAGCAAAAACTCGGTAATGGGTTGTACTTCTATAACCACTTACTTTTCAATGACTACTACTTACCGTCTGCATTACTTAGAAGTACTCTAGTAATGACTTACATATAATGTGTTACAGAAGTACTTTATTTTCGGGTGATTTCCGAAATTCTGTACTAATTCATAATAAAATAATTTTGAATGATTGAATTTTTGTTAGTTATCTTTTCCAAATTGATTTCAAATATTTTTCGCTATGTTCGACTGTTTGTTCAAAAAAATTTCTATAAATAACATTTTAATATGTTGGGTTAATTTTGTATTGGTTAGCAAAAAAGCTCTTTAAAAATTTCATACTATTCGCGTAATGGAAACAAGTTAAAATGTTTAAAGATAATATTGTATTTGCATCTGGAGTCCTCTTGTCATTAAAATTGTCAAAAATTTAATAATAATTTTTGAAGCTTACAGAAAGTTAATTAAAAAATATGTTTATAATATTCTTACAAATATTATAAGTTTTGAGGCATTTTCGCATCATAAACGGTAGGGCCCCCGACAGTAAGAGTAAGGGCATTAAAAACGGTCCACAATTTCACCTAACGTTCAATATTTATCGTGATATTTGCTGTATTGTGATATGTATTGAACGTGTAGCATGTAATATTGATGAATCCTGTTCCATATTACAGAAAACCACAATTTTCTGAAATCCAAAATTAGTAGCAATATTTATAATGGATCACGTGATAAATATTGAACATGTAACATGTTTTGTGATATCAATCACGATACCTTTGTAAAATTTCGAAAAATAAATAAAATAGAACAAATAACAATGAAATATTGTTTTAAAAGTTTTTAAAAATTATAAAAGATAATTACTTATTTTCTAAATTTGTGTTAATTCGGGATTTTCGTGCATTTCTTTAATCAGAAACAGAAAATATTTTTGTTTCTACACTATTACATTTAAAATCAAAACTTGATTTCATTTAATGAAACTTCAATATAAAAAATCAAAGAAAAAAATTAATTTTCAATTTAAATTTTATTTTATTTCTGTATTTAATTATACCACTAGTGGTTTGTGCTGACGTTTGACTCACAAAAATATTTGTCCAATACCCACCTTAAAGTATACTAATCGGCTTAGAATAATGTTCCTTTTCGATGTCCGTCAGTGTGGTTGGCTTTCCATGTAAACCTTGTATACTATTTTTAAGATAATTTGATGAAATTTGCCACATTGGCAAGATCGAAGCCTATTGAAAATAATTAAAATAGGTCCTTTATTTCATCTATTAAAATTATGACAAAATTCAACGTTAGTGCTTCATTAAAAAATAACTCATATTAGGATATGATATGGTCGGCTATCCCGGCTATACTTTCCTCAGCCATAAATAGAAATTACCCAATAAACACCGATTTCAAACCTGTGAACATTTTTGAAAATTTTCTTAACTAAATTATGTATTTTTCAAATTAAAAATGTAGCCTTTGAAGTAAACATGATAATTTCAAAAAACGTTTAATAAAATATAATGTGTGATATTTATAAAATTTTCAAAGTTTTGTTTTAATTGAACTTAGAAAATTTTCTTTCAAAAAATAAATTATTTTAGAAAAATAAAAACAGAACATTTTTTCTACAGTAAGGGAGCGAAAAAACGCTAAATATAGGAGAAATAATCAGAGATATAAATGAAAAATATGCTAAAATGAATGCATGAATGTTTTATTTTCAGGTGATGTAAAAAAGTATATATATTTTGCAATAGTTAGCATTATAATTAGGGTTTGAAAAATGTATGAAAATAATAATAAAGAATACTTGAAATACGTTTAAAAAAATTTCAGATTCAAGCTTACCTCTAGCCTTTTTTTAAATTTGAAATACACGTGAAAAATACGTTTGATTTCTAACTGCCTTTTTGTTTGAGAAGGCCATAATTTTCCATTTGAAAACAAAATTTTTCAAATTTGTTCTCAAAGGCTATGTTTGAAATTTAAATATGTTTTCAAATACATATTTACATCATTTCAATAGTTTTTGCTTATTGGATAAATTCTAATCGTTTTGAAAATTTTTAAAAATTGTAAAATACCATACGACTTTAAATGTTTACACTTTATACTTTTCCATTTTGCTTATTAGAATAGTGTGTAAGGGCTTTAAACAGTCATAAATATAAACACAGCGTCCAATATAAAAAAATAAAGATAATTAATAAGGTAACATTTTCAACCATAATATACTAACATAACTCCGAATTTTCGAATTTAGTTTAGATTTTAGATTATATTTAACAAAAATAGAATCTATTCAAGAAGATGTTAAAGAAATTAAAAGTAAGTATAAGAATTTTTTGTGTACTATCTATAATTTTTAAACAAATCTACTTTATTTTTGGAAATATTAACGTTTTTTTATTTATTTAGGTCATATACTTCAAAACAATAACAATGATTCTACGCAGCACCTTTTAAGTAAATTAAATATTATATTTATATTTTTAAATTTAATTTGATAAATTTCTACAATTTTCCTTTTTTAGACAAACTGTCAAATCAAAATGTTAATGTGAGTAACATTTTGGCAGAACAAACAGTTGCACTTAAGTCTACTATTACATCACTTTGGCAAAACCCAAAACATCTTCAGCGTTTTCCAGTAGGCTCCGAAGATGAATTGAAGGAGTGGGAAAATGCCATTGACAATGATAACAAATGTGGAATGGTAATTTTTATTCATTGTTAAAAATTTATACAATAAAATAATGAAGATATATTTATTTAGATTCATGCAGTTAAATGTTTGCTGGGAAAAGGAGGTATAAGAAAAAATTTAAAATTAATTTTAAGCCCACACTAAATCCTTAGTTATAATCTTCACGGAACTCACAACAAGAAGAGACTGTATAGTTACAACAAAGTAATGGATGTTCTCTTGCGTAAGTATGAGCAATTACCCTAATCATAATAATCCATAACTATTTAATACCCCCTATTCTGCATATCGATTACTTTTTCGCATTCAATTCGCAAAAAGATTTTCCAAAATAGAAGCTATATTATTTCGTTTCAATCATTTACTATTGTGTGTATTCTGTATTATGAACGTAGTTAAGTTTTATTAATTTGTTTTTTAGTGGTGAAGCGTCGAATCAAAATGCATAATATTAAAATTGCCAAAAAAAAAAAATTAAGAAAATTAAGAAAATTTTCGTACATATTTCGAATTATATTATTATAGTTATTATATATTCTATATAGTTTTATAAAATAAGTGAATTTTTGCGAAATAATTGTTTAAATTACTAAAAAGTCTGTAAAATTTTAATAATATTTTCTTAATCTTAGTTACAAATTTCAATTTCAATTTTTCTTTATTAAAATTAATCAATGCAGAATTTGATTCATAAATGATTTCATTATATTCACCCGTATATTGTAAAATTATTTACCTCACCATAATTTGTAAAAATATTTGTTCCTTAAATACAAATTTATTATATTTCAATTTTTATTTTTTAGGTTCTACTGTGAATCCAAATGACTCTCATTCGTTTGAGAGTGACATGCGAAAAGCCATCAAAGATATTAAAAACCGTTACTTCAAAGATCTCTGCATTAAAAAAAGGAACAAAATACTGCCAAAGATATCCCAACAAATTAATAAATTTATATTTAAATTCATTTATAATTAACGTTTATCAGATATTTTGTGTAGCACATTTTTATTTCATACACTTTTTTGAAACTGAACTATTTTTTTTAATAATTTCATTTGTGTTCGTTCAATTAAAAAATTTAGACTGAACCAAACCAAGGATATTTTTTAAGAATGTATTTAATTTAATACGCTTATGTTTATATATAAGCATATATTTAATATAAAAATGAATGAATAATTAGTTTTTATTATCCCATGTAACAGTAATTTTCACACATGAAAAAATCTATGTGTACAGGAATCTGTGGACCATTAGTACTAACTGTGTGTACTCAGTTTTTCATAATCAGCTCTTATGTCCCTGTAAAAGGACCTTAAAGTTTGAAGATCATACGATTTTTATTGATGCACATTAGACCGACCCACAAAAAATGGAGCTTGAGTTACCCTTCTCAAAATATTCGCTGTTATGTAATATGATGTTACCCAAAATATTTTGGGTTTAGTGTTGTCCGTTTATATAATAAACGTTTTTAAAATTTTATTTCTTTTTAGATTTTTTGTCTAAGTGAGTAAAATAAATACTGTAGATGGAATGTATGGATTCCCAGCTTTCATTTTATACCAATATTAGCATCATGCAACACATATAAATATTTAAAATATTCGTTTGAAATTGTAAGTCCTTTAAACTTTGAAGTCCTTTTATAAGGACATAAGAGCTGATTATAAAAATCAGAGTATGCAGAATGGACTCTAGTTTCACATGCTATCAACTTTTCTATGTGTGAAAGCTTTTTTTCAAAATTGTTACGGGGTGTTATATATGTAAAATTGTATTTATTTTTCGTTAAGTTTTTCAACATATTTTTTTCTGTCTACATTACAAATGAAATAAAATTAGTTAATGTTTTTATGAAAAAATTGTCAATTCAGTAATCAAGCAATTGTGTAAGTATTAATTTTGGTGACATCTATGTATGTATTGCCTTCTTAGACTCCTTATTTTTAATGACTTCCTGAAGTCCTTATTTGTAATGACTTTCTGAAGTCCTTATTTGTAATGACTTCCTGAAGTCCCTATTTATAATGACTTCTTGAAGTCCTTATTTATAGTGACTTCTTGAAGTCCCTATTTATAATGACTTCTTGAAGTCCCTATTTATAATGACTTCTTGAAGTCCCTATTTATAATGACTTCTTGAAGTCCCTATTTGTAATGACTTCTATAAGTCCCTATTTGTAATGACTTCCCTATTTGTCCCTATTGTATCCCTATTTGTAAACGAGCGTGGTAAGTACTTCTTTAACTCCCTATTTGTAAGCGAGCGTAGAAGTACTTGCCTCCAATGACATCACCGTGTTAAAATAATGACTCTAAATGCTAATGAAGAAGAAGTATAATATAAATATTATTTGTTAATTATTTTAGAATTGTTAGAAATTTGTCTTAAATATTATTTTTTTTTATTGTTAAAATACATATTTTAAAACTTGAAGTCTCCAAATGTTAAAATTTAAATATTGAATTTTGTTAAACAAATTTTAACCTTTATAAAATTACAATTATAAATATTGTGCATTTAAACATAATAAATATTGATATTATGATTGAGTATATCTAATGTTTTTGGTCTTCTAATTTGTTTCATGTAAGGTAAAGGAAACATAAGTTTAAATTAGGGGTTCCAAATATTAGAATATGTCATTGGAACAAGGTCTGGCGAGGGTTAGGAGGCATACGTATCCAAAACCATCTGGATGACGTAAAATTAGACAGGATAGAAAAATAGTCAACTATAGTTTATTCTTAATTGTCAATGATAACTAGACTTGGGGCTTGTTGTTTGAATCTTTTGTTTTGCTGTCTAGTTCATTAACTTAGTCCATTTATAAAATTTATTACTTTTGTTTTAGTTTTAACCGGGAGTCTATAATAAGAGCAATGTCTGAAAATGCAATGCTAGGAAATAGGACACGAACCCCCCACCCGGCTGCTTGCTAGCATATCAATGGCTCCCAAAGTCCTTATTTCTCTGGCAGTTGTTACAATCAATGGGTCATTGAAGTGATTTGATTATTGATTTGATTTTTATAAATAAATTCTTTATTTTTCTCACACAGTGTCCTACGATTGTTAATGAGATTATTTTCAATGTAGTTTACCTTTATTGAATAATTTCCTTCCGGTACATTACAAAAAAAATGGCGCCCAACATGGGGCCCGAAGGAATGGCTCTTTCTTTCTGGCTCTAAATTGTTTTTTATAGAATATTAGATTTCAATTTTGTAATAATTTTAAAATATTTTTTCATTGATATTGAATAACTTGATATTGAATAACTTTTGAATCTTTTCTGGAAATTTTAGTTACTTGAGGTTTTTAAGTTCGAGTAGACTAACCGATAAGTTAACTATTGTCTTTTCTTTATCTTATAGAGTGTCATGAAGGAAATTTTAATTTTATTTAGTTCTATAACAGTCTATGATATTTATGAATATTTAAACCAATTTTAGCTCATCTTCATACAGTGGAAATCATATTTTCGCTGTCTGCAATTTATGACCTAGTATGAAAATGACGATTTTCGAAAACAAAACTTTGCTAATGGGAAATTTTTTATACCCTCCACCACCATCAGTGGTGATAGAGGGTATATATAACTTTGTCATACCGTGTGTAACACCAAGAAATATTCATCTGAGACCCAACAAAGTATATATATTCTGGGTCCTTATCAAATTCTGAGTCGATTTAGCTATGTCCGTCTGTCCGTCTGTCTGTGTAAAACACGCTCACGATAAAACGAAGCAATAGAGCTTAACCAAATTCACCCAAAATGTTCTTCATTTTCCTAAGTTGTTTGGTATTGCAAATGGGCAAAATCGGTTCACACCGGAAAAAGTTATGAATCAAAATTTAAAACAACCTCGGAAAAAAATAAGCATTTTTTACACATTCTGATGTAATTTTCTCGAAAACTATGCAAGATAATTCCATGGAATTCACCATACATTCGTTTCTGTACAAGGTCTTGATCCATGCTGAAAATTGCCAGAATCGGTCCACAATTTCATATACCTCCCATACAAAAGTACATATTCCCGGAAAATGGGTTTTTTGTTAATAACTTCCGCCACAATGTCGATATCTTCACAAAATTTTACAAATTAAAATCTTATGTCAATAGAATTCTTTCAGAGGAAAAATTTTATGGATCGGTCCATAATTCGACATAGCTCCCATACAAGGCCCCTCCCGAAAATCACTTAAACGCGCATAACTCATTACTCAATTAAGATATCCATATAAAATTTAGCATAAGTATTGCCCATATGCATAGAAATATTACTGTGAAAGTTTTTTCCGATCGGTCCATAATTGGTCATAGCTCCCATACAAGGTCCCCTCCCGAAAATCACTTAAACGCGCATAACTCAGTACTAAATTAAGATATCCATATAAAATTTGGTACAAGTATTGCCCATATGCATAGAAATATTACTGTGAAAGTTTTTTCCGATCGGTCCATAATTGGTCATAGCTCCCATACAAGGTCCCCTCCCGAAAATCACTTAAACGCGCATAACTCAGTACTAAATTAAGATATCCATATAAAATTTGGTACAAGTATTGCCCATATGCATAGAAATATTACTGTGAAATTTTTTTCCGATCGGTCTATAATTGGTCATAGCTCCCATACAAGGTCCCCTCCCGAAAATCACTTAAACGCGCTTAACTCATAACTAAATTAAGATATCCACATAAAATTTGGTACAAATATTACTCATATGCACAGAAATATTATTGTGAAATTGTTTTTCGATCGGTCCATAATTGGTCATAGCTCCCATACAAGGTCCCCTCCCGAAAATCACTTAAACGCGCATAACTCAGTACTAAATTAAGATATACATATAAAATTTGGTATAAGTATTGCCCATATGCATAGAAATATTACTGTGAATTTTTTTTCCGATCGGTCCATAATTGGTCATAGCTCCCATACAAGGTCCCCTCTCGAAAATAAGTTAAACGCGCATAACACATTACTAAATTAAGATATCCATATAAGGTTTGGCACAAGTATTACTCATATGCACAGAAATAATACTGTGAAAGTTTTTTCCGATCGGTCCATAATTGGACATAGCTCCCATACAAGGTCCCCTCCCGAAAATCACTTAAACGCGCATAACTCATTACTAAATTAAGATATCCATATGAAATTTGGTACAAGTATTGCCCATATGCATAGAAATGTTACTGTAAAATTTTTTTCCGATCGGTCCATAATTGGTCATAGTTCCCATACAAGGTCCCCTCCCGAAAATCACTTAAACGCGCATAACTCATTACTAAATTAAGATATCCATATAAAATTTGGTATAAGTATTGCCCATATGCATAGAAATATTGCTGAAAATTTTTTCCGATCGGTCCATACTTGGTCATAGCTCCCATACAAGGTCCCTCCCGAAAATCACTCAAACGCGCATAACTCATTACTTAATTAAGATATCAATATAAAATTTGGCACAAGTATTACTCATATGCACAGCAATATTACTGTGAAAATTTTTTTTCGATCGGTCCATAATTGGTCATAGCTCCCATACAAGGTCCCCTCCCGAAAATCAGTTAAACGCGCATAACTCATTACTTAATTAAGATACCCATATGGTACAAATATTATTCATATGCACAGAAATATTACAGATAATTTTTTTTCCGATCGGTCCATAACTGGTCATAGCTCCCATATAAGGTCCCCTCCCGAAAATCACTTAAACGCACATAACTCATTACCAAATAATGATATAAATAAATACTATTTTTGTTCATAAATACTATTTTGTAATGCAAAAAGCACTTAATGCTATTTCAAAAATTTTTCACGATCGGTCTATATTTGGTCATATCTCTCATACTAGGTCCTGCCCCTAAAAGCGCTTTAACCGTATTTAACTATTTGCATTATCAATTTGTGTAGAACAAAATTATATATATATATATATATGTATTTTGAAATTCCTTAAATCTTTCACACACATGCATAAATGCAAGCAAATACGAGATATCGCTAAAGCATATCTTAGGGCGCTATAAAAATTTAAATGAAAGTGGCGTTTCTAATGTTCTATAAATCTTGGAATTGTAGTAGATTTAAGCTGTTTAAATCTTGGGATTTTTCTATTTAAGACATGAGAAAACTTATTTCTACAAATATTTTATTAATTAGAAATGTATTAATACAAAAGTTGCTGGTGGAGGGTATTTAAGATTCGGCTCAGCCGAATATAGCACTCTAACTTGTTTATAATTATGTTAGCCATGTTATAGAACGCAATAGACCAGTTTTGCTCGTTTTATAGTTGATTGTTTTTTTTTTTTTCTAATTGTCTAAATGATTTTTTTTTTTAATTTTCTTATCATTTCTTACATGAACTTTTTAGAAGACCAATTAATGTTTGTTATTGATTAAAAGTTTAACATTCTTATTGATTTGGAAACCGAATCTAAAAATTTATATTATTTTGATTTCAATAATTTTTTATTTTTTTTTTTTTTTTTTTTTTTTTTTTGAAAACAGAATTTTCTAAATGAAAAATTTTCATTACTAATAACTTTCTGCGATTTTTTAAATAAAATTTCCATACATTTTCCATGAACTGAATATTGATATACAAATTGATAGTTTTGTATAGTGCATAAACTTTGAGTGTATTTTGTAGAAATTTTCATAGTTTTATTATTTCGAAACAAAATTATTGTTAAATAACCTTATCTAAACGTAATTTCAAACAGTTAAAGTTTTCCTTATTTAGTTAGAAAATTTAAGTTTTTTTCTTCCCTTTATTTCGCATTTAACATATCATTTTAATCATTTAGCTATTTTGTTGAGAAAAACTAGATTCTCTAAACGCAAATTATATTTTGTTATATTTTTTCGATTTCTTATATAAAATAAATATTAGAAATTAGTTAATAATTTTGCAAATAGCATTAAATTTTGATCTTAATTTATTCAAATTTTCATATTTCAAAAGAAAACTGACTAAATTTAGCTTAAATAAAAGCAATTCAATTTTCCTAATCTATTTATTTAGCCATTGTAAGATTTTTTCCCCTTTACTTCGTTTTTTTTTTTTAAATTTTGCAAATTTTTTTAGAAAATTTTGTTTTAATTACCTAATTCTACTAAAAATTGTATTTTCTATAATTTGCTTGTGTCAATTACTGAATTGAGTTACATTTGTATACCTACTTTTAATTTTTTTTGTTTTTGAGATTTATCTTTAAATTATTTGAAAATTTATCATAATGGCAACAGAACCTACTACTTCTCCAATCTCTTTACCACCAACTTTGCCTTCGGCTTCGGTTTCTATCGAACCATCAGTCTGTCAAATTTGTAAGCAATCTATGAGTCCTGAGGAACAGTCCTGTTTAATTATAAATGAATGCAGTCATGCCTTTCACAGGTCGTGCATAGAAACTCATTTAGCCACGTCATCCGAGTGTCCCATTTGTAAAAGACATTTTCAATTGTCGGAATTAAAGAAACTTGTGATTCACCCAAGAGGTAGTTTAGCGAAACCAACTTTTCCAAAGCCACGCGGTGCTATGGCAAAGCACTATAATACCAGGAGTGTGAGTAGAAATATAGGTCAAAATCCTTCTGATGTCAGTTTTATTATGGAACCAAACGAAGAGCCAATGCCATCGTCTGTGACCAATGCACCTAATCCAACAATTGACCCTGTGAATGAACAGAATAATACTGCCCCAAATTCGAATAATGGTATTGATTACCAAGAGATCAATTGTATGATTGAGCAAAGTTTGTCCCGCCTTTGCGATACCACAAAAGAGTTCAAGTTATTGAATGGAACGATTTCTGTGAAGCGATCCGCTGCCAATACCACGAGTTTAAATCGTCTTTTGATATTAGTGAGGAGATACGCAATAGAAAACAGAAACCCGGGGAAACGTTTGATTCCTTCTATGAGGCGGTTTCTACTATTATGGACAAGCTCCCTACACCAATGTCAGAACTCGAATTAATCGAGATTTTAGCAAGAAACTTACGCCCAGACATTCGACAAGATCTCTTGTACGTCCCTGTACATTCCATTCCACATTTAAGAAAATTAGTACAAATGCGTGAGAATTTCTTAGCAGATGAACACGTTCGTAAGAATATTGTTACGAAATTGAATTTGCATTTAAACTAAACGGTTTTTAACGGCCAGTTCCCGAAATTTCGTAAGCGACTAACATTTGGGTGGCATCACTAAGTGTTGAAGAGGTGTGTGTCTCCACTAAACATTGACTTACATCAGTAGAAGTATCTAGATGATGGAGCCAGAATAAACTGGAAATATAAAGAAGGTGATGCCCATGTATAAATAGCGGTGGCAATCACCAAATGAGTCAGTCTGTAATAAATCGTCATTGAGTAAAGTTAATAAAGTCAAGTGTGCTTTCGTGTGTTAAAGATAAAAAGACAGCCTTACAGTCTACTATATAAGTTGTGTTATAAAAGTATTTGTGTATAAAACTGTGTAAATAAAGAGTTGTTGTAGTTATTAACAAATTGACGCTTTTATTTGCAATAAGAAGAATCCAGTTTATTTCAAAAGGAAATAAACGAACGTTTTAAAAGGTAAAACGTAACAATTGGTGTCAGAAGCGGAATTGCATAATAAAAAGCAGTCATGAAGTTCGAAGAACTAAAAGTGGAACAACTCAAGAGAGAATTGAGTAAGATGGAGTTACCGACAGCCGGTAATAAGGCAGAATTGCAAAAGAGGCTAATAGATGAATTCAAGCGGCGTGAAATTGACATAGGTACATACGAATTCGAGTACAAAGAAGAAACTGAGATATGTACTCGCTCAACAACGAGCAACATGGACTTAAACACAATGTTTGCCGCTATGATGGAGAAATTTGTTGAAGTTCAAGAAACTTCTAAGGCTAACTACGAGAAACTTCTTACTGACAACGAGAAACTTCGAGCTGAGGTTAAAGCTGAAGTAAAGGAAACTTTTAAACACTTAGCTGAAATGGAAGCAAAATTTCAGGAAAGTTCAAGAGCCACAGAAGAAAAAAATTCTGGAAGTGTCTGAGGTTATTAATAGCAGAGTAGATGGCATTGACAAAAAGGTGTCAGACTTAGAAACAAAGATGAATAATCTGCAATATCAAGAAGGAGCTGTACGAATCATTCCAGAAACCTCGAGTAGAATAAAAGCCCCTAGTTTTGATGGCACCACACCTTTTAATGTGTTCAAGTTCCAGTTTGAGACAGTTGCCATCAGAAACATGTGGAATAATGAAGAAAAAGCTATAGAATTGATCTTAGCCTTAAAAGGAGGTGCTTCAGTAGTTCTTGAGAGCGTACCAGTGAGCAACAGAAATAATTATGACGACATAATGGAAGCACTACAACGCAAGTACGGTGGAGAACATAAAAAGGAATTATACCGAATGGAATTGCGTGGCAGAGTGCAGAAGGCCAATGAGACACTACAAGACTTTGCATTGGAAATCGAGCGATTGATACAGCTTACTTATCCAGGAGAACATCACCCGTTTTTGGATATTTTCAAGATAGAGGCATTTGTAAATGGCATACGTGATCCTGAGATAAAACATGCGGTTTGTGCCACACCAAAGCCATCATTCGCTGAAACTGTCTCATTTGCGCTGGCACAAGAAACGGCTAAAATAATTTCAAAGCCACAAATATTCAAGGTACGAAATGTCGAAGTTGTCGCTGAAAACGAAAGGAATATAGTCACTGAGATAAAAGAGGCAGTTTTAGAGGCTTTAAATGAGAAACAAAATAAAGCCAAAATCAAATGCTATAACTGTGGAAAAACCGGACATATTCAGCGAAACTGCAAAGCACAAAGAAAACGTACCAGATCGGTCTCACCGCCAAGAAACAACCAACAGGTAAATCATCACTCATCACAAGAATCACCTTTAAATTAAAACGAGCTAGCACTGAGGGGCAAGAGCTAGCTCCCACATATGACGGCCCCACAATCTCCATATCAGTAATGCAGCAGAAAAATAGTAATCTAACTGCTGGTGGATACATCAATGGTCGAAAGCACATTTTTACTATAGACACAGGAGCGTCGCAGTCTATTATTAGACCAGATTTAGTTAAGAAAACAATTGAACCACTATGCGGGGTAAGATTACGCACCGCCACTGGAGAGCCTGCCACTGTCTATGGTAAAGTAAATGCGAAAGTAATCATTGCCAACATAAGCGTAGATCATGTATTTATTGTTGCCGATATCGTGGATGAGGTAATCATTGGTGCAGACTTCATGATTATGCATGGCATTAAATTACATTTGGGACCAAATGTTATGATTTGGCGAAATGTTGAAATACCTCTTGATGTCGGATATCAAAGCAAGGCTCAAGTAAAAAAACTAGTTGCTATTGAACATGAAAAATTGCCTCCACAGTCAGAGGTTTTGATATGGGCCCGTATGGAGGGAGATTGTGAGGACAACAGTTTGTGGGTAGTAGAACCAGCAGAAATAAAAAGTGATATTGTAACAGCTAAAGCCCTCGTCAAACCCTGTAAAAACAAAATAGTTCCCGTAAGAGTTCTTAACTTGTCCAGCTTTGAAAAAGTCATAAAGCCAAATTCCGAACTAGGTCAATGTGCTTCAGCAGAGGCTGTAGTCAACTGTGTGGAAAATCCTGCAAATAAATCCATCAAAGAACATGAGCTACTAGCGGAATATGTGGGAAAATGGGTAGAAAAGCTAGCGCCGTCAGATAAAAATAAAGCCAAACAACTTCTGAAGAGACATGCATCTGTCTTTGCTTTAAAAAGTGAAAATCAAGGTAGAACAGCAATTGTAAAACATCAAATAGATACTGGCGATGCGAGACCAATAAAGCAGGCCCCCAGAAGTATTCCTTTAGCAAAACGAAGCGAAGTGAAAGAGTTAGTGAACGAAATGGAGCGGAACGGCGTAATCGAACCATCTTCTAGTCCTTGGAGCTCGCCCGTGGTTTTAGTTAAGAAGAAAGATGACAGCACAAGATTCTGCGTAGATTACAGAAAGCTGAATGATGTCACCAAGAAAGACAGCTATCCGCTACCTAGAATTGATGATACTCTGGACACGCTAGCTGGAACAAAATGGTTCTCCACATTGGACTTGCAAAGTGGATATTGGCAAGTAGAGATTGCAGGCAAAGACAAAGAGAAAACTGCATTTAGTGCTAGTGACGGATTATGGCAGTTTAATGTAATGCCCTTTGGACTCTGCAATGCTCCAGCAACATTCGAGCGCTTAATGGAACATGTATTAAAAGGACTTCACGGAAAGACATGTTTGGTGTATCTCGATGACATAATTGTCATGGGAAATACTTTTAATGAACACCTTAAAAACCTTGAAGAAGTCCTTAAAAGAATATCAGCGGCTGGACTAAAACTCAGTGTAAAGAAATGTGCATTGTTTCAGAAGGAAGTGAAATATTTGGGGCATCGCGTAACAGCAGATGGAATATCAACAGATGAAGATAAAATAATAGTTGTAAAAGACTGGCCACGGCCGAAAAATCTCCATGAATTGCGAAGTTTTCTTGGCCTCTGTACGTACTACAGACGATTTGTTCCAAATTTCGCCAGTGTAGCTGCAAGCTTACATGAATTGACCAAGAAGTCGCAACCATTCCATTGGGGTGAAGCACAAGAATTAGCATTCCAAAAGCTCAAGGATCTCTTATGTAAGGCACCAATTTTGTCATATCCCATACCTGGAGAAAAGTTTGTGCTGGATAGTGATGCTAGTGGATACGGAATAGGCGGTGTGCTTTCCCAAGTAATCGATGGAACTGAAAGAGTCATCGGATACTTCAGCCGAACGCTTTCAAAGCCTGAGAGAAACTACTGCGTTACTCGTCGCGAACTCCTAGCAGTAGTTGAGTGTGTCAAACACTACCATAAGTATCTATATGGGCAACACTTCCAACTGAGAACCGATCACTCTGCCCTCAGGTGGTTGCTGCAATTTAAAGAACCTGAAGGGCAACTGGCTCGTTGGATTGAACGCCTTCAGTCTTATGATTTTAGCATTGAGCACAGGAAAGGTGTAAAACATGGTAATGCGGATGCTCTATCGAGAAGACCATGCACCGTGGAATGCAGGCATTGCACAAAGGCTGAGGTAAAAGAAAGCGTCATCGATGTTCGGCTAACCCATATAGATTCCACTGAAGATTGGTCTGAAGCGCAAAGGGATGACCCCTTACTGGCAAAGATAATATCGGCTAAAGTAGAAGGCAAAAGACCAGCCCGCAATGAAATATCTGCAGAAAGTCCATTAATGAAATCCTATTGGGCTCTATGGAATAGTCTACAAGTGTTAAATGGCTGCCTATACCGAATATGGGAAAGTGCAGACGGAAAAACGGTGACAAATCTAATTGTGGTACCTGCCTCTAAAATAAATGAAGTATTGAAAGAGTTCCATGACGGTCCAAGTGGTGGACATCTTGGCGTGACGAAAACCATAGAAAAGGTAAAACAACGGTTTTATTGGGTCGGTTGTCAACAATCGGTAGCCGATTGGATTTCAAATTGTCCACAATGCATAGCAGCCAAAGGTCCAGTAAGAAAAAGTCGTGGACGACTTCAGCAGTACAACTCAGGTGCGCCATTTGAGAGGATTGCAATGGATGTAGCAGGCCCTTTTCCTGTTAGTGATGCCGGAAACCGTTATATTCTAGTGGTTATGGATTATTTCAGCAAATGGCCAGAGGTGTATGCCATCCCCAACCAGGAAGCTAAAACAGTCGTAGGTGTGTTTGTGAACAACTGGATATGTCGTTATGGTGTACCATTGGAGTTACATTCGGACCAGGGCAGAAATTTTGAATCCGCTGTGTTCAAAGAAATGTGCGATTTATACGGAATAAGAAAAACAAGAACAACTCCACTGCATCCTCAATCAGATGGCATGGTCGAAAGATTCAATCGCACACTGGAGGAATATTTGAGAAAAGTGGTTAGTGCACATCAGAAGGACTGGGATGAACACATACCAAAATTTCTGCTGGCCTACCGAACAGCCGTTCACGACTCCACCTCTCGAACACCTGCAAAAATTATTTTCGGAACAGAACTCAAGCTGCCTGGTGATTTAGAATTTGGTATAAAGCCGTCATCAAAAAGTAAGGATGATGA